CCTCTTTTTCTGCTCTCTTTCCATCTTGCTCTCCCTCGCAATCAGGCAAACTGACTGATCCTGACATTTATATAAAAATAAGTGAGCCGGGTTTAGAATATTTGACTGTTTATCCAGTCGGTCAACTGTCCACACAGTCAAAATAGCTTATGTAATCAGACAGCCACTCAGTGATTCCATCCAGCCGATTTTTTTTTTTTACAGTCAACCAACCAACCAGCCAGCTTGCCTGCGTGACTTTCTCTTGCTTGGTCCATCTGTCTGACTACCCATCTGTATCTGCCTGTTTCTGTCTATCTCCCGACCTGCCTGCCAGTCTATCAGACTGTTCGCGTGTTGACATACTCTTTGGATGCTAAGATTACTGTTTAGACTGGATGGTAATGCAGATATAAGGCATAGCATAGGAGTGCATTTATTACCACAGCAGGATCACAGAGTAGGAATGGAGCCCCTGTAAATCTGTAAAGCTATATGTAACATTTTCTTGAACAAAGTGACAAAAAAATACTTTGAATATTTCAAAACTGATATTCCCATCTTCAAATTCATGACCCTCAAACTGCAAGGAAGATATTTGTTCCATCAACTTTAACAGCTCCAAATGTGCAGCCTCTGTGTTGTAAAGCAGTGATGCATACCGAAGAATTGAAGTTAGCCAGTGATACCGTAAACTTGTAAAAGCTGGCGAAGCCGAAAGAATAAACCCATGATGGCGCAAAGGTGAGAGAAGAGGCACAAACAGATGGGAGCTTTTATTCAAATGAGTCAGCTCAAAGAGAGTTGTTAGTATTTTGGTGGGGGGGAAAAAAAGGGGCTGTTTTGCTAAGAACAGACGTCTAAGAAGAACCAGGTTGGTTTCCATTTCAACGCCGCTCTTTTATCACTGAAGTGACAGGCTGAGAACACTTATTTATTATCAGAAATAGCAGGCGCGCTTAGAGAGGCCCTCACTGCCCATGTGCACAAAATGTAGTACCATGTGCTGCTTGATGCAAACGGCATTCGTCTATTTATTGTCACACACAGCGACAGTTTGGTTTACCTGACTCCTCGAGTAAGAGCAGCTAAAGTGAAGCTAACAATTAAACCCAATTACAAGCGTCTATTTCAATATTACCTTTCCTATCTGCGTGTATACATCTATAGCAAAGCCTTGTGACCTTTAGCGTGTCCTTGCAGTCTTCTGGTAAATTTGGCTTAAAAGTGGTCCACCAAGCAGAAAATATCAATAACTTTTAAGCTTTTAGAGTTGGTTCAAACTGCTTTTTGATGCTCTCTGTATTTCAGGCAGCCAGCTCAAGTGGAATAGAGTATAAGCGAGTGTTGAAAATATACAGAGTTGATGTTTGGCATCTAGACTCTGACCTCTTCACTCCCCACGAGGAAGCACCGAGCGGGGAGTAGGGTTTTCAAATGCTATGTGAGTCACATGAGTGAAGTGGCTGCAGGGATGCCCGCAAGAGTAGGAAGAGCAGTGACCGCCTAAGTACACCGCACGATTAAAAGGGTGCAGTGGTTTTATGCTGCAATGAGAGAGATACAGCTTGTGAATGTGGCAGTGGACTGGAGCTGGATGCACGAACTGGTTACACAGGTTTCATTTCATTTCGGTGGGGGATAGAGAGTTAAGGAAACAGCAGATGAAGCAATTTCAGAAACATAAATGCATTACTTAGCGAGTGAAACCCTTTTTCTTACTCTCTGTGCTGCACACTAGAATAACAGCCCTCTGTCATGTTTGTCCCCTAAAGCGCTCCCTTTGCCACAAAGCATCCCAGGTGCCTGTGAAATCAAACCTGCAAAGATGCATGAAAAATTCAACATTAAAGAGCATGCAGAGGCTGCCGCTCTTCACGTCGGTGGTCTCATTTGTTTATGCTAAGTATATCACTGTCTCGAAA